GGGGCGGGGGGGAGAGGTTTAAGGCTGATATCCCCGCGCTCCCCTCGGGGTGTAACGGGGGTGGCTGCTGCCCTGTCCCCGGGGTCGATATACCCCTGCTCGCCCGGTGTCCCACCGCCCCATCCCTCCGTCCCAGTGGGACTCATCCCGGGAAAGCCACAAGGCTACCGGAGAGGACAGGGCTACAGGTGGCATCCTGCTGGGCTGGCTCAGGGTCCGGAGGAGAGGGACGGGGTTGAATCCTGCCCACCCCGAAAGCGTTTCTCTGCGGTGTCCCGAGCAGCGGGCACGGCCGGAGGGGGGATTGCCAGCGGGACAGGTGCCAGGAAAACCCGCTCCTACGGCTTTAGCAATTAGAGCCCCGGTTAATCGCCTTCCCTGGGTGGCGGGGAGGGACCTGGGCAGCGTGTGGGCGCAGGGATGCTGCAAATCCAACGCGCCGGGGGTGCCGTCACCCTCCGGCGGTGGCGAGGACAAGGGGTGATGGGGGGGTTTAACCTCCAGCCTTATCCCAGGAGAGTCCCGCGGGACCGTCCACCCTTGCAGGGTGCCATACCCAGCCCGAAAAGGCGCTGGGAGACCTCGGAAAGCTCCCGGGGCCGCATCCAGCCTCGTGCCAGGAGCGATTTAAGCTGGGCGCTGCCCCGGTCTTCACAGGGTGACGTGTGCCGGGGTGCTTCAGATTAGAGTCAAGCCTCTTGAGTCTGATTTAAAGCAGATCAGCAGGGACAGCCCGGATTATCTGCCTTGTAAACAGGGGCTGAAGCTGACCCGGAGATCCGCCCACGTAACCGCCTGAAAAACGGCGGGGGGAGACGGGCGTTGCACCGGTCCAAGGGCAGAATTTTTCCACGGTGGACCTGCTCATGCCTGAGTCACCCCAAACCTCGTGAGGGCACCGAGCCGGCGGGTTGCTGAGCCCTGGATTTTAGGTTTAAGGATGCCAGAGGACCTTTAAAATCCCAAGGCTGATGCTCAGCATCTTCGGCTTCCCTTAGAGGAATCCCAAGGCTGATGCTCAGCATCTTCGGTTTCCCTTAGAGGAATCCCAAGGCTGATGCTCAGCGTCTTCGGCTTCCCTTAGAGGCAGGGGACACGTTGCCGGACATGGGTGCTGCAGGGATGTGGCAGCTCTGCGCTGCGGTAGCCGGTCCCGGTTCGGTTTGGTACCTCTCTGGCTCCTTGAGTAGCACAGCAAACCTCACCGGGCATCCTCTGGGAACACAGCGCCTCTTCTTTGTCCCGTCAGAAGGAATACAGACAGAGGCGTCCCCTCCGTGCACGTGGTGGGGTTGCTGGTTCTTGCGGGTGAAACCCGGCCCAGGGCAGAAAGGTGACCCGAGGCCAATGCCAAGTGACCTGCAAACGAGTGTCATGAGGGGCCGAAATATCCGTAACCAGTGTGGTTCGCACCGTGTTTTATTGCCATGAGGAATGGCTGGAGCATCAATCCTGCTTAGTCCCACCGTCTCTGGGATCAGCCTCGGCCACTGGTCCATGCCCTGGGGGGGGCAGCTGCAGAGTGAAGTTTTCGGGGGGACCGCAACCCCTGAGGACAACGAGAGTAAAACACGGTGGGGGTTGTGACACCCTCTCCCTTTGCTTCCCCAGCAGAACACGCAGCGGTTGGGGGTCTCCCAAGCGACTCACTCTTTGACCACGCCGGTTGTTTCTGTGGCTACTCCGAGTTTGCTGACGCAGGGACTGCCCTTCTCTGCCATGCCCACCGCCTACAACACAGGTAAGAGCGGCACGAGCTTCCCGGTGGATAATTTAATCATGCAATCACGCAATCCCAGACCAGCGGGGGGTCGGCAGGACCCTCTGGAGCTCCTCTCCTCCACCCCCCGCCGGAGCGGGGTCACCCAGAGCAGTCGCACAGGACGGCGTCCAGGCGGGGTTTGAATCTCTCCGGAGAAGGAGACTCCACCGCCTCTCTGGGCAGCCTGTGCCAGTGCTCCGCCACCCTCACGGGAAAGATGTTCCTCCCCGTGTTCAGACGGACCCTCCCGCGTCCCAGTTTGTGCCCGTCGCCCCTCGTCCTGTCGCTGGGCACCGCTGGAAAGAGCCCGGCCCCGTCCTCTCGCCACCCACCCTTTCGCTACCGCTCGGCGTTGATGAGATCGACGCTCATCAATAATACGAGAGGGGACATGTGCTGACACGGGCACGTGCCCACCTCTCCCCGAGCACCTCCGGTGGCGCTGGTGGAACTCAATGCCGCGAGACGTGGTCACAGAATCACCGAATGGTCAGGGTTGGAAGGCACCTCTGGAGACCGTCATCTAGTCCAACCCCCAAGAGTCCAAGAGGATTAAAATTGAGGGGAAACTTCAACAACGAGAACTCGCTGTCCCCTGCAGAAGGTCTGTGAGGGTCCAATTCTGTCACCCTACAGCCCATTGCACCGCGCCGGCAGCGCCAAGGTGCTTTTACGTAGGTGCTAATTACAGCTACACCCATCTCCAGGCTCTCTCAGAGCTCCGGGCGATGTTGTAACAGGGGCTTAACGACAATGAGCGTCAGGCCCCCCAAAATTGGCGAAGAATGCAAACCAGCCTGCTCGTAGGCACACCAGTTTGGGACTGGTGGGGTTCCAGCCGCCCGAGGCGACGGTTGCAGCGCGCTTGCCCGAGCGAAGGGGGTGTTCACCTGCGACCTGTCAAACCAACCTTCCCCCCCCGCAAAGACTTTTAAGGACTCGCGGGTGTCCCGTGTAACTCACTTTTTTGGCATTTGCTCAGCGAAAAGTTTGCAAAAATGTCAAAAGCTGCTTGTCTGGAAGGACCCAGAATAGGCGTGTTGGGAACTCCCTCTCCTAATTAGTAGGTGTCGCCCTGAAGATGCTCGTTTGTGCGTGACGAGTCGGCTCCTCTCCCTGCGCGGAAAGCATCGGCGGCCGCGTGGTCCACCAGCCAGGCTGTCTACAGCCAAAATCCCCAAAATAGGGTTTTTTTTTTAATTGAGCCCTGTGCCGCTGCCGCGCAGGCGGAGCAGGAGGAGGGGGAGCTGAATTTCAGCTTTCTGTATTTATTTTTCTCTCCCAGTTGACCACAGACGGAGAAGCGTTCCCGCTCGGGCGCCTCCGGTGTCTGTGGCCGAGGTGTTTGCTGGAGATACCGCGGGGGTTCTCACCGCGGGGATGGCTGTAGGGCGCCGCCGCGAGCTCCCAAGCCTTCCCGCTTCTTCTTCCCGGGGCTAACCTATCAACCGGGTGGGAATTATTTGGATTTCAGGCCGATGAGGTCGCGTTGAGCTTCCCGCTGGCCGGTGGTTCGTGTGCCCTTTCCCCTGCCTGCTCTGCAGCCCGATTAAGCCGCAAAACTTAATCGAGAGATGGGATGGCTCCGGTTCAAGCTCTTGGCATCGGCTGCGGAGGCGGGTGTCGTAACCAGTGGGTGGCGGGAGCTCCGAAACCAGAATGGCTGGTGCTGGGGGTGAAGAACGGCGTAGAGCGAAGAAGCCGGTCCTGGGACTTTCTGGAGGGTGTGCCTGCCGTCAGCCCCGGCGGCTTTGGCGGCAGGTCCGCGCCTTCGCAGCCGCCTCTTTTT